GCCATCATTGAGTTTGATCTCTGGTAAGACAACCATTTCAGAGAAGTAATGTTGGTTGGTCAGATTAGAAGATCGCAGAAGGGGGATGGAGCAACCACAAGGAGGGGAAAGCTGAGGCAGTATATGGATCCGGGCAATCCATATTGATGTTTTAAGTGGAACACCATTCTCGAGACTTCCTTCTATGAACCCCAAAAAAGCATATGCAGTGGCAAGTGGATACATACATCCAGTTTCCTAGACATGACTCGCCCAAGAATTCTGCAACGCAAAGCCAAGTAGGGTATGTCTTTATCAATGACTATGCCTGTAGCGAATGAATCCAATTAGTATAGCCAGTCGGAAACCGAATCCCTTTCAATCCAGTCTTCCACCATGTCGGGGAATGGGGGTACATACATATGAAACTTGTTGCAGCGAATTGGGCGGGATAGATGATGATATCTTAAAGGAGCCATCATTCTGGATCTATGGATGATCTGATCGCCTTGACACATGGTTAGCTCGATAAAACATGGGTTGACTGGAAATGCTTGTTGACGAAAGATAGAGTTGAAGATGAAACTGGACATCATGAAATAGGTTGGCTCGGCCTGGTATAAATAGTGACCTATTTTCCATCACAACCCAGTTATGTCATCGTTCCACCCAATGCTGCCAATGACTCTACTTCACTCATTCTCCACTCATCCTCCCCAGTGGCATCGACTTTTTTCGTTCCGTCAATCCATTTTTATTTCCCGTATTTCAAATTATTTAGATTGCTGTATGATAATTAATTGAGCATTCTTTCCCGCAAAAGTGCTCCCATCTCTTCCTCTCTCGCCATATGCTGTTTCGCAACATCCACCTATCGTTTAACACTCAGTTCCGCATTGCTCAGATGGCCGCTCATCTGTCCGGCTCGCATACAAGAAATGGAAGCAGCAATTCGGTTACGGCAGGAGTGTCTCTAGATGAACTCCCCAAATCCAATAATTTCACATCAAAACTGCCAGCAGATCCCGCTTTTGAAACCCCGGAATCCTCTCACAATGCGCCCCGCGAAGCACTTGGACCACGGCTGGTTAAAGGCGCTTTGTTTACCTATGTCCGCCCTGAGCCGACAGATCAACCAGAGCTGTTAAGTGTAAGTCCGCAGGCACTAAGGGACATCGGCCTCAAAGATGGCGAGGAGAGGACTGCGCAGTTCCGCGACCTTGTCTCGGGAAATAAAATATATTGGGATAGGGACAATGGAGGAGTATATCCGTGGGCGCAGTGTTATGGTGGTGAGAAAGTCTAGTTTTACGCCTGTCTTTCGTAAGCTTTTATCATAATTGTATTTTGTGCTAATACTTTTGTGGAGGCTGGCAATTGTATGTATAAGCACCACTTGACGCCCACCATTACGATGTATATTAACAGCAATTCTGCAGTGGTTCATGGGCTGGACAGCTAGGAGATGGGGTACGCCCAAGTTGCCATTTATATTCCTTTTCTATTTTTAAGCTACAATACTCATTCTCAACATATGTAGCGAGCCATCAGCCTCTTCGAATCAACGAATCCTGCTACGAAAATCCGATATGAGATTCAGATTAAAGGGGCTGGTAGAACTCCTTATTCTCAGTTTGCCGATGGAAAAGCCGTTCTTCGCTCAAGCGTCAGGGAGTATATAGTTTCAGAAGGTAGATGGCCTTTTTTTGTAACTATGAAAAATATCTCTATTTTTTGCTAACACTCTGATGCTAGCTTTGAATGCTCTGGGAATACCTACAACACGCGCCCTTTCGCTCGTGTTATTGCCCAATTCCAAAGTGCGGAGAGAACGGCTAGAGCATGGTGCCATTGTGACTCGTTTTGCTCAATCTTGGATCAGGATCGGAACTTTTGACCTTCCCGGATCCCGCGGTGATAGAGATCTCTCCAGGAAATTGGCGACCTATGTAGCAGAGGATGTTTTTCCTGGTTGGGAATCCCTTCCAGCCGCTCTATCTGCTGTATCGCCTGACGTAAAAGATGCACCGTCTGTCGATAATCCTTTGCGAGGTGTGCCTAAATACGAAATTCAGGGAGAGAAAGGCACGGAGGAGAACCGCTTTAGCCGCCTCTATCGAGAGATAGTTCGACGTAATGCAAAGACCGTTGCCGCATGGCAGGCGTACGGTTTCATGAACGGAGTGTTAAATACTGACAATACGTCCATTATGGGTCTTTCTCTCGACTACGGCCCATTTGCGTTCATGGATAACTTTGACCCGCAGTATACCCCGAACCACGATGACCATCTCCTTCGATATTCATATAAGAACCAGCCAAGTGTGATCTGGTGGAATTTAGTGCGACTTGGAGAGTCCTTGGGTGAATTGATGGGCGCTGGCGATAAGGTAGATGACGAGACCTTCGTTACAAAAGGCGTAACTGAGGAATTTGGCAAGGCCCTTGTGCAAAGAGCAGAGAAACTCATCGATAACGCTGGTGAAGAATACAAAGCTGTATTCCTGAATGAATACAAACGACTCATGTCGGCACGCTTGGCGTTAAAAACCCCCAAGGAATCTGATTTCCAGGAGCTGTTCTCAGAGCTACTTGATACCCTCGAGGCTCTTGAACTTGACTTCAATCATTTTTTCAGACATCTTTCCAACATCTACCTCGCCGACATTGACACTAATGAAAAGAGGAAAGCTATTGCAAGCATCTTCTTTCATAAAGAGGGCGTGGGTGGAATAGGCAATACTGAAGAATCTGCCAGAGATCGTATTGCCAAATGGCTTTCTTCATGGCGGAACCGTATCATTGAAGACTGGGGTATGGAACCGGATGAAGAGAGACAGAAAGCAATGAAGGCGGTTAATCCGAAAGTCAGTATTCCCCCCCCCCCCGGGGCTATTAAACCTGGATACATGGATATTACAACCTTTGTCTAGTTCTGGAAAATATGCAAGGTCTTAATATTATTCTATAGTTTCTGCCACGATCCTGGATCCTCGATGAGGTGATCCAACATGTCGAGAACAAGGGCGACCGAGGGATTCTCGACCGTGTCATGCACATGGCCCTGAATCCATTCCAGGAGGAGTGGAATTTGGACAAAGACGAGGAGGAGCGATTCTGCGGAGATGTCCCGCAGTTCAAGAGAATGACTATGTGCAGTTGCAGTTCATGAATAGGATAAACCTGCAGTTCATGAATATGCTGTACCAAACTAGTTACTTGTATAACATACGGAATATAGTTTGGTTTTTTTATAGTCAACAACATTCTATGCATGATGTTTGATATCCGCCTTTTCATGTAGCTTACAATATACAGGATTAGAGCATCTCTACACGATACCGATGTACAGGAAACTCAATTCTTGACCCTGTGCAATTCTGAACACCTGGGGAAATGTCTTCTTTGATGGCTCCATTTTGTCACTGACATATTCACCAGTGTCATACATGAAATATACAAGGGCGGGGGCTCCTCGCAACACGAATCTTCTCTATACCACTTTTATTAAGTTGACAAACAAGAAGCCAAAGCTAATATCTATCTACTTACCGTGCTCGGCTCCAAGGAAAAAGAAGAGAAGCTACAGACTTTAGCAACGATTTTACTCTGCCTAGTTTTCGGGAACGAAAGAGCGTTTCACGTTGAAACCGACGAAGATGAAATGCTCACTTACGCTGTTCAAGCGAGCCTGCGGCTACATAAAGAGCATCAGAAAAACCTGGAAGACGCGGTTGTGTCCTAACTGGAACATGAGGAAAAGGCTCTTCGCGAATCTGAGGCTGAGGCCGCCGAGGCCCAGCGCGCGAGGAAAGATGAAGAGGACCAGCTCCGGTCGATTCTTGAGAGAAGTGTTGCAGATGCGGAAGAGGCTAGGATCCAAAGGAGGATAGCAGAGGAAGAACGAGCGAGATTGGATCGACTCTTTGGGTCAGGAAACAAGTTGGGTATGGACCAAGCAAGTCGATTACTCTCTCATATGAGAGCAAATAGTAGTCGCATGCTACAAGATGATAGGCCCTTACACGTCGAACATGACTAGGATGAGCTTGTACAGGGCCCTCGTGAGCCAGACTCTGTTCTTCAACCTGCATATTCGCGACGTCTATCGGGCACCCCTAGCGGGCTGAGTGGGCTGGGGCCCCGAGTAGGTAGAGCTCTGATGGAGGCATGTATTCCCTGGTCCCCTCTCCTTTCCACAGTTCTAGTGTGGGAATATCCTGCTGCTAACAGGCTACTTAGAGAGCTCTCAACAAACCACAGCTCCAGCGGTTGCCATAACTCGACGCAACACTTCTCCACCAACACGGCAAATACTATCTTCTCGCAACACACAAACGCTAGAACCAATACAAAGATATGATCTCAACATGAGCGAGCGTCGACCTCTCGCCACTGCTGCCACTATCCTTAGTAGCACTGATGGCAGCGGCAGATCGCACAGCAGAGTCAAACAGAAACCCTCTCCCCTCCATAATGTCCTTACTCCCTCGAAGAAATCCTCTCCCGCAACCGACGTGACGCTTTCCCAACAGACTTCTGCACACCAGCCGTCGAAGAACGTAACAACGTCGAGCTCCAAGCTGCCATAAACGAATCCGCGGGTGGGCGGTACCGTGACGAAGAGGAGGAAGCCATCCGGCGCAACCGCGACATCCCAACGTACCCAGAGGCGGTGTTTATGAAGTTCTACCCGGCACCTCGGGGCCGGAGATATGTGTTTCAAGCGCCCAGTTCTGTGACATTTGATGGGGAAGAGGGGGGTTAAAGTCCAGTGGGAGATTGTTGGAGACATGGATCTGGGGGAGGCGGTTAGGGTTGCCAATAAGAATGTAGATAGTAAGGACTTGTGAAGGAATCTGGCGAGGAACGGGCGAGAGAATAGGAGGGGAAGGAAAGGTAGAGTAGCAAATCAAATAATGCCCTTCGGCTAGTTTTATATACCCAGGGTCCCTACCCAACCCCAAACCCGTTATATCTGTGCCCTACCTTTAGAAGATGCGTAGCTTGAGTGGGGAGTTGTATCGGGCCCGCCGTTCATAAAACAAAGCCTGATACAATATGAGGTCAATATTCATCATCCTGTGAACACATATCTGAGAATGATGGCCCAACCCACCTACTTCCCCTACGCACTCTATTAAATAAGTGTACATTTTATATAGATGGGCAATGAAACATATTCCTTCCCCTCACTCAAAAGATTCGAAAAAGCCGATGTGTGGTGTGGGTAATGTAAGAACCAAAAAGACGAGTGGGTTGCTGCTCGCTTCTACCATCTTAGCCCTAGCACAAAAAGAGAAGAAAAGGAGCCCCGAGTCATTTCTTATCCAGTGTAACCGGTCTATATTGATAAGGGGGAGTGATATGTTAAATTTTTTGTACTTTTTTCACAAAGTATATGAAGAGCCCTAAGACACAATTTTACACTTGACCCGGTGTGAAACGAGAAAGCCTCAGAAAGATAAGATCCGCGGCAATATAAAATAATACAATGCCCGGGCATGTTTGATAAACCATAGGACCAAAAATGTACGGCGTGAAGAAGACGAAGCGAAAAGCCAAGACCGGGGCATGAAAATGCTTCCTTTAACAAGAAAAGGAGAGAATAAGGGGTTCAGTTTTCTGAAATGAGAAACATCCCATAAAAAAGACAATAGCGCCATTTTTGATCCAATTTTGTTGCTTTGTTTTAGGTCTTGCGGGGAATCCATGTGTGCACTGTGTAGTGGTGTTTGCTTCGCTGTTTCTTCCTCTCAATTTCACTCTCAATTTCAGTTTCAGATCCCATTACAAAAGGAAAGAAATATATACGAACGAAAAAGAAAATATATATAAAGAAACGAAGATCAAAAGACCTTCCTCAGTGCCTTGAAAATGCTTTCCTCTCTTGTTTCCTTTCTCCCTTCCCTATCAATACTTGAATGCTTTGACAAACAAAATACATGCTCTAGCATGTATGGATGTGTGTGCGTAAGATGCCCTGCATGATGGGGATGTTCTGTTGGAGTTAAAAAAAGGGACTTGTTTTCTTTGCGTGACAGTAGCATAAAAAATGGAAGAAAATAGACATAATCTCGTGATTTAAAATATGAGGAAAAACAAGAATGCAAAAGAAAGAAACAGGACAAAAAAAGAAGAAATGGCTCATTTCTGAGTCATGACCAAGTTACCCTTCCAAACAATGGGCCATGGGGGACAAAAAAGAAAGCCCGTGCGCTTGGATGGATGGAAGTAAAAGAAGATGAAAGAAAAGGAAATCCAATTTCTCCTCGATTTCTCTTCCTCACGACCCCAATAAACGCCCTTCTCCCGCTTAGTTGGGGCAAGTTGCCTGGACATGGCCGGGTTGTTTGCATTTGTAACAAACTCGCTCACCCTTAGCTTCGGTGGGACAGTCTCGGGAGACGTGGCCAACTTCACCGCCTTGAAGGACAGAGAAAAAAAGGAAAACCCGGATTAGATATGAAATTTGTCTAGGGAGATGGAGAGGGGAAAGGAAGGGGAAAGGGAAATTAAAGGAGGGTAACAATAAAACATACAATTGTAGCACTTTTGACCCTGAGTGCAGTCGCGAGCCATATGCCCGTAACCACCACACGAGTAGCAAGTCTGCTGGCGACCACCGCCATAGCCACCGCTGTAACCACCACCAGTAGCACCACCGTAACCACCGGATCCGTAACCTCCACTTTGGGAGCAGTTACGGGCGATATGTCCGACTTGGCCACATTTGTAGCATTCCTGGCCGCCAGCAGCTCCTCCGCCACCGGAATAGCCACCGCTGTTACCATAGCTGTCTCCGGAGCCGGCAGATGTGCAGTCACGGGAGATATGTCCGGCCTGGCCGCATCGATAGCAAGTCTTTTCCTTGGGGGCAGCAGTACATTCACGGCCTAAAATTGGGAGAGTGAATTAGATGGATTGCGCAGAATTCACTGCTGGAGTAATGGAGTTTTAAGTAAATACTTACTGACGTGTCCCTGTCCTGCAAGCGGAAAACATAACCGCATTAGAATCTCCTCCCACCCATCGAGTATGAGTATAGGGACTTACCACCACAGTTGTAGCTAAAAGAAAATCGATTTAGACATGGAACAGCAGTAGCCGGTGAGGTGAGTGTGCTGAACGACTTACCAGGTAGGAGTTCCCTTCTTGGGGCAATCACGAGCCTAATGAGGGGAGAAAAAAACAAAAATCAATGCCATCCTCGAATCCACAGGGCGCAAAACATATTAACCTGATGAGCGGCATCGCCACCTATAGCGGAAACAATGTTAGCGGAATTTGCGTCCTGGAAAAAAAAAGTACTTGAGTTACGAATTGGAAACCGATTTCAAAGTGCAAAAAGGACTGGAAACATAAAAATTCTCGTGCATTGCGCCTGGGAAGACATCATATGTCGTCTCGATGTTATTTCGATACTGGTCAGGCTCCCAAAGAAGACAAGATGGGCAAGTTGAAAGAGGGATTAAAAGTTCCAGGCCAGTGAGTGTGGGACAGGGCGAAGGAATCAGTTCTGACCGTCAACCCACACAACCGATACAACCACACACAGAATTTCAAACACCACCCGAAAAAAAGTTGTATTCGCAATTGTAATAAGACGGACTTACAATTGAAGCATCCACGGCCACCTGACTGGTAATCCATCTTTGGTGAGTTGGAAAAGAGTTGAAAAGTGTTCTCGTTTATTTAAGGATCGAAGGGGGAAAGATAAATGGTGGTAGTCGAAAGGACTGGAAACTAATGGGATTATTGCAAATCGATCTGAGTTGATGAAGGTCGGGGGGGGGGTTCAGAGAGGAGGTTTTTCTTTATTAGTTGGTTATTATTTCCTTAAAGGGAATAAAGGGAAAAAAAGTTGTGTTTGTCAGTGACCAGGTCAGTGGAAGGCAAAAAAAAAAAAAAAAAAAACAAAAAAAAAAAAAAATTTCTGAAAAAAGTTCTTGAAAAAAAAAAAAAAAAAAAAAAAAAAAAAAGTTGCCCCCCCGCCCACAAACAAGACATTTTTCTCAACTTCTCAAAAATGCCGAATAGTGCGATGCGGGGAAAGCTTGGAAGCGGCGGCGGCTCGAAGCGAGGGGCGCAAAAAAAGAAAAAAACGCCGACTTCGAACAGCGCAGATGAAAAGGGGAGCAGGCCATACGTACTGTAATAATTGGGAGTTCAGAAGAGGAGGGATATGTTGGTGAGGTCAATGAGAACAAAGAGACAAAGGAGGAGGAAGAGGAGACAAAAAAGATGGGGATGAATGGGGGAATTGTGAAGTTCACGGACAAGTGATGAACGATGGTCTGCGGCTGGCAGTCGGTCACTGGACTGGGATTGTTAGTCATTATTTTACTTTGAAGAGACATCAGAGGAGAGATACCTTTATCTTCCCAGTCTTTCTGTCTTGCACTCTCTCTATCTCTGTTGGTATTCCTAAGAAATGATATAACAGGGCTCTCATTCAGAATTTTCCATTTTGATCGACCTGCTGTTTCGGCTTTTCCTTCTTGTCTTGGTGCAGATAGCTGCTAGTGTATTGAGTGCCATCTTTCTGCAGTAGAATGAAAAGGTGCTGTATTTGTACAGTACATGTACGTCAGATAGCTATTCGTCTCTTATCAATCCCGCCGCCACCCTCACCTCCGTATCCTACTGGCCTAATCATTTTCGTAGAGAAAAATAGAAGTGATAACTGATGCGATATGCGGGAAATAGGAATCCCAAGCAGCACAATTCGCAAAAGGCATTGCAGATCGGATCAAAGGGCAGCAGGAGTAGGAGGAAGGGGGAGAAGAAGAGAAGAGAAGAACAGAAGAAGAAACTGATGATGAAGAAGCATTTAAGGGGGAATCGGGTGCTGTTTCATCTCTCCCAAGGTCCTCCCTCCCAGCCTGCGCTCGGACTCCGAGGCCCCTGGCTCGATATTATCCAGTCAGAACATGCGGTATACGTATACATACTGCTACTGAGTGTGTCACATTCCCCTCCTCCAATCTGCATGAAGCCCATTTCATTAGTTACCTAGAACTTGTACATTTGGATTAGGTAAGACCGGACTGCACGAGCAACACCATGACAGACGTGACGGATGTAGTTATATCAACTATTCATATAAACTTTAACCGATTCAACTAATATCACGTAAAGTCGTAACAACCCAACAACTGTGTCCCCAGCCCCCTCTCTCGAAGCACCACAACCCGTTCGTCATCA